TAATTGAAAAATCAAATATTTGTTTCAAAATAGAATATATGACAATATTTAAGTATAATATATCCTAGACTGACAAATCATCTCTGTTCAGAATCGTTTTTCGTATACAATGATGCCTATCATTGCATTCAAATTTAATCCCATCCATTACAGTAACCTACTGTACGGCAGAGCGACATCCACGACTTACCCGCTTTTTTTTCTATTATTATTGTATATCACAGATTGTATTGTGGTCAATTGTCTTTATGGCAGACAACGATTCTGTGAAATTTACCATTTTATTTTTATTTGGAACTGCCTCAAAAAGAAAATATTACATTGAGGCATAATTATCAAAAGAAATATAATTTCATAATTCTTATCACATAATTAAGCAATGAAAACTAACTGAGCACAACATATTTTAATTTTGTTGTTGTATATTTAGATGCTAATTACTTTATTGATTAGACTCCTGTGATAGATTGTTCCAAAATTGTTATTGGTATTTTATACATAGGCTTGCCATTCGTCCCGGTTTGACCGATAGTCTCGGTTTTTACAGCATGTCCCGGTGTCCTGACCGGTCATTAATTTTGTCCCAGTTTAAGGAAGACAAGAGAAAATAACTTTAATATTATTTTGTTTAATAATAAAACATAGAATAATGTTATACATAGCATTTGGGTTTAACTTGTAATAAATTTTATTTAAAAATTAAAAGTAATACAGCTGTATTGAAAACAATTCATGCAACCGAAAGAATGAATATTAGATAATTACTAACAATTAATAAATGTAAATGCAGTAAATGTAGTTTATGTAAAAAATTGTATTGGTTAAGAGGACGCCACACCCGCATGTGTTGTCTCCGTCTTACAAACGTATAACATAGCAAAATCTGTTTAGCGAGGGACAACTTTACTCCTTTTGTATTTATAGTAGAATTACCAAAATTCCACAACGCATAGGTAAGAACTTTATTTGTGCCATAGCGTAGTTATTCTTTTGATAACATAAATATATTTAAAATTATAAGCTTAAGAAAATACATTTATTTTGTATTTTTTCATTAAATTACTTAAAACTATTGGTTTGTGCTATCAAAAAAATAATGACGCTATGATACAGATAAAGTTCTTACCTATGCGTTGTGAAATTTTGAAAATTCTACATAGGCGAGCGCAGACTTTATTCGCAGGTTATGCAACAAGAAAAATAGGGCCCCTCACAAAATTTTTTTTGAATTAATTCTAAAAAAACGATTATAAGCCGTTAAACATTTCATTTTACCACATATAGGACTCAATCTATAATCTAAATTTTTGCAAATATACTACTTACTACTTAGCTGCTTTAATGCAGTGAAAATTAAAAAAAAAATTAATTTTTTTTTTTTAATACTCACCATAGAAGACATTATTAAAAATGCTTTGATGGTATGGTAAACATGGGCCCCCACATGAAGCCGCAGACTATGCAGCGGCTTACCCTGCATACCCCGTGCGCACGCCTATGAAATTCTATTATAAATATTGAGGGAGAAAAGTTGTCTCGCGCAAAACAGATTTTGCCATGTTATATGTTTGTAAGACGGAGACAACACATGAGGGTGTGGCGTCCTCTTAATACATTTTTCAATTAAAATATGGGATATTATTAATTCTCGTATAATTATACAAAAAAAGGTTTTTACTATTTTTATTTTTATTTTTTATTTTTATATTAGCTTCTAGTATTAAACTATGATAGCTCAACAATTACAATTGAGCATGATAATAAATAAATTGTACGGAAAAAAAAGGTTATTCAAAATGATGTCCTGGTTCAGTGTTTTTGAAATCTGCAACCCTATTTATACAGATTATTAACCAACAGAACATATATCTACTACTGTTATTTATATCATTATTCATGGTCAACACAAAGATATTTTATCTTAGACTGATTAATCATATATGAATGAAAACTCTTTGAAAAAACTATTATTCATCATAAAATCTGGGCAGTTTTTAAATTTAAATTAAATATTAGAATTAATTCTCTAAACATTATCAATTAAAAATAATAACTAAAATATTAGGAATAAAATGCAACTCATTTCATTTTTCTTGACAGAAAACTAATATTATATTTTGTTTAATATTTCAAATTGTAATTATATTATACTCAAAATGATGGTAATAATTATAATTTACTTGTGACTATGGGTTATTTGTATATTTAATGTTACATAGTTTGAAATCTAATAGTAATTTTTTTCCCAGTATTCTTTTTCTTCTCTTTCTTTTATGACAGCTTCAAGGTATGGTTGTAAATAACGGTCGTCCTAATGCAATACAAATTTAGATATATATTACTAAATATTTATTAATATATATAATTATATTATTAATATAATTATTTATGTATTGAAATAATACCTCTTCAAACTTTGTCCATTGTTCTTTCGGTAGTTCAATTTTTTGTAAAGAAAGTTGCATTGCTCTCATTATTCTGAATGACCTTTCATCTACTTTGTGTGCTGGTAACCGTCTTAATGCTTCCTTTACATCATCATTTTCTTGCAACACATCATCATGATGTAACCCTGTATTAAAATATAGTTAACATATGCGATTTGAAAGATTATAACTGTAAAGATAATGTAACGTTATTGCAAAAATCTCAATACTTACCAAATTTATTGAAACCAGAAAGATTATATGCCCAGCGACGAACAGCCACTAAGAAATAGAAAAATATGTATTATTAATAGCTGTTATAATACGTGAAAGAGCATTATAATAAATTACTTACCATTGGAAGCTAAAGCTTTCATTATAGGCATTTGAGATGTGTCGTACGCGAACGAACGGATCAAAATTAACGGGTCAAACCTGTGAAGGTGAACGAAACAATCCGGATCGTGAAATAATAATAAGTCGTTCTTTCGTTCATTCGTTCAATTTCGTTCTAGTTCGGATTGCATTGCTACCAACTCAAAATTCTTAATAATGACCGTATTACATGTTCAACAATATTTCGTTCCAATAGACATTTGTTCCAAAAACTTTTGTCCCAAAAACTTATTGGAACAAATGTTTTTGTAGCATATAATATCCTCAAAAAATCTACTTCGGAGAAGTAAAAAAGGCTTTCTGTGCGTAAGTTGAAGAGATTGGGAGAAAAGATAGAACTTTGGTGTTAATAAAGATGTGAAATCAATCTCAAAGTTCTGTGCCAAAAAGGGCCACGGTTGAAAAAATAGAATTTGGAGCTTATTAAAGAAGTGAAATCAATACCCAAATTATGTGCCTCAATTTGAAAAAAATATCTTATTCAAAAAAATTTCAAGATGTTCAACTGTACAAACATTGAAAAAAAATATTAGCACAAACCGGCGTGAATTACAGATAATCAACAAAAGTTCTAGTCAGACAGTTAAACTCGTAAACAACTAAACAAGTCAACAACTCCGATTTATGGGTAATTCATTATTATTGTACGCCGTTCTGTGCTAATATTTTTTTTCAATGTTTGTACATATATTATCTATGCCTTTATCAAAATTATGTACTCAGGGTGACCAACATACTTTTAAAATGCGTATCATCCTTGACATAATATTGTGCATTCATAATATAGTCAGTGCCTTACAATAATGTTTGTTCTTTGCCATAAAGTACCTAAAATTTTCTTATAGATTAAACCGTGAATTAATGGCGCCAATTTTTATCACTAAACAATAATCCGATCAAAATAACGTAAATAATATATTTATCTATATATAAGTAATGTATTGTGTTCATAATTTTATAGACCATATTATCCCTTTTTTATAATGTCACATGGAGCTGAACTATTCATCCATGTACTTTGACTGTACACCAAGGAAAAGTACAACGATCCTGCCTATACGTTAAAGGTTAATAATGCTTATAGTATATTATAGTGCATTTGTTGTTTGTGAGTTGTGTTTGTACTTGAGTTTATTAAGTAGACAGTAGTCTCCAATTATTGTGGTTCGAAAACATTTTGAATTAATGTAAGTATTACAATATGTTTTAAGGTTATTTTTTTATAGCTTATAATGCTTATATAGGTACTTAAATAGAGAATATTTAACAGTAATTACGTACTCAGTATTTCATAAGTAGGTACTTATTCAATATTACACAGGTAGCATTTATTTTTTCTTATTGTGTGAGTTGCTGTTATAACTTTGGGTTTTTACAATGATAATCACAAGTGCACACATTAAATTGCGGGACTGGGTCGCTGGGAGCATGAAATTATGATATCTGTAGTCACTAATATTATATTGTACACCGTACCTACATAAACATATTATGTACTATGAATGTCCATGTACAACTCGATATTGGACGTCAATAGACAAAAACTGATGCTATTTGTGGAATATGAATGAATTAATGTGTTTATTTGTATTTAAAAACAGGAAACAGTTGTTGCTTATTATGTCTTAAAATATGAAAATAATAATTGTAGAAAAAAAGTCTTGGCTCTACAATATTAATGTATGATAGTATAATACGTAACTAAGATGTTTTCATTGTACTAATGTAAACTTTATTATTCACATATAATAAATCCATTCGCATACTCAAAACAATCTAATATTTAGTAGTTTGCAATTTTCTTTAGAGGTTCTTTGCAAGTTTAATTTGAATTGTTTATATTTATGATTTTTATCTTTATAACGTGTTTCAGTCTATAATGTGCTACGAAGTAATGCATATTTTTAGTAATTAAAAAAAATATTCAAATACTTTTTTGCCCAGTGTAAAGGTATCTAAATATTTACTTTCAAAACCCATCTCCTTTCATTATAAAATATCAAAGTCTCATTCTCAGTGACCATAATGTGAACACAAAGTTTTTAAACATAAAAAACTTGAAAACTAATACATTTTTAATTGAATTCACTATATTTTACTGAATTTACACAAAAGATTTGGCATAGTTCAAAGTTTAGGACTAAAGCAATTTTCTTCTACATTTTGAAAGTGTGTTTGGTATCCCATTGCAACAAAGATTCAGAATAAGTGTTAATTATACCATATATTTTATTTTTCATAACTTTTTCATTTATATTTAAAGCAACTTCTTATTACAGTAGAACCTCGATTATCCAAACCTTCGTTATACGAACCCTCTATTATCCATACTCTAATTAGCATATCCGAATGTGAAAACTCGTATCCGGTAGGTCGTCCAGTTTATCGAGTTTATCATAAATCTCGCTTTAAGCTTATTAGGGGTAAGTCTATTTTTGACCTAAACCGTACACTTCCTTTTTTGGCCGATTCACTTTTTGACAAATTTTAAATAGGTCAATTCCCTTTTCAACGAAAACAAAAATTTATTTAATAAATTTTAAATCATAAAATAATGATATATAATTTTTGTCAATGATTATTAAATATATATTTAATATTAATATAAAAACAATGTTAATACATAGGTATTTTTACATTTTAAAAATTCTTTTTATAACATTTTATGCAACTTATAATAATTTTAATTAAATCGACAAAGTAGTAATGGAAATGTTCTTTGATGATTTAAAATAATGTTATGTATTTCTGATAATCTAATGTATGTATTTTTAATTTAATATTTATTATAATAATAAATATTTATTTATAAAAATAAATTTTTTTAATTTTATATTTCAATATCCGAACTAGGCACGGTCCCAATTAGTTCGGATAATCGAAGTTCTTCTCTACTTGTATATTTATATACTTTGGTATTTTAATTCATATAAAACCGAGCGTTAGTTATTATCAACCAATGCCCTGCCGTGGCAGAAAAATTATGTATATAGAATCTTAAATAATATGGAATAAAATTTCACTCACTGTTTTGTTTATTTTTAATTTTTGTTTTAAATCTTTTAAAAAAATTATAAATTGATGAAAATAAAATAAAAATATATGCTGATCATCATTCAAGAACTGTTTCCAAGAATGATTACTAACATAAGTTGATTATTTTTCAGAAAATATTCAATAAATTATTGAAGTTGGATATCAATTTTAATTTACACATTAATCATGAATTCAAAATCTAAATTAAGTCAAAGTGAGAACCAATTTTATTATGTTTTTTTTATATTCATCAATAATTTCATATTTAAAGGATGTTTGTTTTGTTTATATTCATAGAGTTCGTTCAAATGAATTCACAGTATAGTAATGAAGATTGGTATAATGGAAGTATTAAGTCAATCACTCTAGAAAATTTTATGTGCCATTCAAATTTTCATTTAACATTGAATCCTCGAATTAATTTTATATCAGGTTTGAATGGTAGTGGAAAGAGTGCTATCCAAACTGCCCTTGTTGTAGGGTTTGGTGCTAGAGCAAGCATCACCAACCGTGCTACTTCATTAAAGTCACTTATCAAATACGGACAACCATCAGCTACTATATCAATAACCATAGCAAATAGTGGAGACGGAAATTGTGATAGTGGTCCTTACAGGCCTGAAGTGTATGGCAAGCAAATTACTATAGTAAGACAAATTACTGAATCATCTACTACATATAAATTTTTAAATGAAAATAATAGGGTTGTTAAAGGCTATAAAAATGAATTAAGAAATTTGGCACTTCATTTTAATATATTAGTAGATAATCCAATATGTGTCATGAATCAAGCAATGGTTAAAACATTTCATAAAAGTGCAAATCCAAGTGAAAAGTATGATCTTTTCTATAGAGCCATATCTGCCAATGTATATAATGAAAATATTGAAGAAACTAAATCAATTGCAAAAGAATACTCAGAAAAACTTGAAAATATTAAAAGTGTTTTAGCACAATGTTTCAAAGAAGTAAGGGAATTCGAGATTTATGAAAAAAAATCTAAACAGTTAGAAACATTGAAAGATAGTAAATTTCAATTTGAAAATGAGTATGCTTGGCATCTTGTTTATCAACATGAAATAACTTATGAGAAATATTTAAATGAAATTGAATCTCTTAAATGTAGTATGTCTGAGAATACAGACAAAACAAACTTTTTGGAACAGAATATTAAAACAAGTTCAGAAGTTTTGGGGGAAAAAAAAAAAGATTTGACAAAGATAGAAGATTCTCGCTCACATAATCATATGGTATTCATGCAGACAAAAAAAGAATTGCAGGACAAAATCAGTGAGTTTGATTCAATGAAGCAGTCTGTTAGAAAATATGATTCTACTTTAAAATTGTTAATCAGCGATAGGAAAGATTTAGAAAAACACATTGAAGTTGAACGTCAAAAAGGCAATACTAATACTTTAGCACAATATAAAGAAATGTTGGCGCGCTATGAGAAAAATTGTTCTGAAGTAGAGGCAGCATGGAAAACAAATATGGAGCATGAAAAAACTCTACGAAATACAGTTGATGAATTGAAGCAAAGAGTTGGACATTTAAAAAACAATGAGGTTACTCCTTTACAAAGAAAAATAGGTGAACTTAATAGAAATATCAATAGTATGTCTCAACAAGAAGACAGGATCAATTGTTATGGGAACTGGATGCCACAATTAGTTAAAGCTATTGAAGTTGCTTTTAATCAAAACAAATTTATAAAAAAACCAATAGGTCCTATTGGGGCGTACATTAAAGTAAATAATGACAAATGGATATTTGCAATTGAAAATTTATTAGGTCGTGGGACTTTAAGAACGTTTTTAGTTGATAACTTTACTGATAATAAAGTACTTCAATCTATAATGGATAAAATAATTACAGGAAACACAAGAAAACCCACTGTTATTACTAGCAAATTTTTTGACAAAATTCATAACATTACTGCTAAGGAAACTCAAAATAATTTGTTTCGTATGTTAAACTTCACTAGTCCTGTAGTAGCTAATTGTCTGATTGATAACAATCGCATTGAAACAATAATGCTTGTAGATGACACAGCTGAAGCTATGCCTATAATGGAAAATATGTCCCAAGTTCCTATAAATTGTAGTTTCAGTTTAACTTTGGATGGAACTCAAATTTATCCTAGCCCTTCATATAGAGTTTACTCTTTACAAAATTCTACTGAAGCAGTTCTCTTGCAAAGTGATGTTTCGATTGCTGTTAATAATTTGAAACGTGAGAAAAGAGAGTTAGAAGTAAAAATTAATAATCTTAATAAAGAATTTGAAAATCTCGAGCGGTCAAAAGTTGAAAAGCAACAGCATTTTGATAAGACTCAATCAGAATCACGATTGCTTAAGTCGAAGTATGATGAATACTTAAAAAAAATAAATGAATTTAGAAATAAATGTGAAGAAGAACAAGATGACAGAATGGCTACTCTTACTGAAGAAATAAATGATGTTGATCTTAAAATAGCTAAAGCCAAAGAAACAAAAGAAAATTCTATGAAACCAATTCCAAAACTTGAAGAAGAAATTAATGTGATAAATGGGAGACTTCAAGAAGTAAAATCTATTATTGAAAAGACTGATCGTTCTGCATTATTGGAAGAAATTGAACGCCTCCAGGCTAAAATTAATAAATATAAAACAGAAATATTGCAAATTAATAATWATTTAATTGAGAGGAAACAATTATTAAAAGATTTAGTTCAAAAAGCAGAAAATGAAAAAAAAAAACTAGATAAAGAACAAAAAGAAGCTGAAAAGCTATGTGAAAAAATTCAAGTAACACGCAATGAAGAAGATATAAGAAGAGACATGGAAGAAACTAATCATAAGTACCAGTTATTAGAAAAGGAACTGAAGAAAAGAGGTGAAAACCATCTAGTCTTGAGAGATGAGTATAAGAAGAAAAAAGAAGAATATATTATTCAAAGTGCTTTACATAAACAAATTGAAGATATCTACAAAGCCAATAAGAAATCTGTGGAACTTAGTACAATAGCACTTAAAAAATACATTGAAAATGTCCGGTTAAAAGTAATTGAGTCTTTCGATTTAGTACTGATATTGCGCAAAATCAAAGGTAAACTCGAAATTAACCAACATGAACAAAGTATGGTAATTTCAATGTTCGATAACATAAGTACTTCATGTGCGTCTGGTGGTGAACGGACATTTGCTACAGTTGCTTTGATTTTAGCATTATGGAGCAACATGCAATTGCCGTTTTACTCTATTGATGAATACGATGTATATATGGATAATGTTAATCGATTAGCCACCACTCAGCTGCTGATGATGGCTATTGAAAACCGTAAAAACCAATTCATATTTCTCACTCCTCAAGACATATCTCATATAAAAAGTTCTGATAATGTTAAGATAGTTAAATTAAAAGAACCTAGATCTTAAAAGTGATTTAATTTAAGTTTACTGTTATAATGGGTTATAAGTAACTACATTTTATTATTTCAAATGTTATTAATAACTATTTTTATATCAACATTTATATTCACAATTGACAATACTTTTATGCCAGTGTTTAAATTAATGTACTTGTAACAGTACTTAAAATAATTTAATTTCTGTTCTAGTTGATAAGAAAGATCATACATTTACCTAAATGCAATTTAATTATACTTAAAGCTAATAATAATTATCATTATATTTAATTAAGAAAGAAAATGTATGAAATCGGTTTATTTAAATTAATGAACCTGTTTATTACTATTATACTTGAAACAGATAAACTAAAATATAATGTAACACAACTATATTTTATTCATTATTTTAAAATTGTTTTATATTTTATTTATATTAATTTTAATGTTATAACAAAACTTTATACAATTTTACTCAACATGTAAAATATAAATATTGCAAAAATAAACAAGTTAGTAAGATTTGAAAATGTAGCTTGTATGTATATTTTTCTTTTTCCTTTATTGGTCAAACATGAAAACATGTCAACTCATGATGCTACATCAGCTGTAAATTAAATACACATTGTGCAATAGATACCTATAATAATAATAATAGGTACACAAGCACAAATATTTGACAAAATGTTTTAAAATTTTTAAACTCTAAATGTGTTTATTTAAATTGGATTTTTTTTTTCTAAATACATTTTTTTTACATACTGTTATTTTTATGGACAATTATTTATTTTTATTATTTTTCATAAATATTAAAGTTATAACCTGTAATAGTCATGGGAGCTATAAAATGCCATTATTTTACTACCATGTATTACTGTACTTTTCACATTAAATAATGGTTCATTGGTTTTTAAAAATTTCATAAATGGCTTGTAGCTTAAGTATTATAGAGCTGCGATAATACGGACAAGACGTGAATAAGTCGATTTTTGTTGGAGTGGTCGGATTTCAATTCTAAACATTATTTTATTTCTATGGCTTTTTGCTATAGAATAATTAGAACTTGGTGAACTTACAAGAGCTTATGAACTATGCAGTATGCAGTAAGATACTAAGATGCAGTTATCTAAATAATGTAACGAGTGTTTTGCATTATCTATGGTATCACAGAAAAGGAATAGATATTATCAGTGAAGTTAAACTTCGATTACGCTTAATCAGCTGATAACAGATATTTAACTGTGTTCTAGGATTTAACCGTGCTAATTCGGCCGATTTAACTCCGGTTAACTTTAATCAGAGACGCTCAGACGGTACAACTTTCTGTCCCTTCAGTTCATGGATATAATAGAATAAAATCCCATAATCTATTTGATAAAGAATATTAATTTAGTAAATATATAGATACTGGTTAATAATCTGTAGTTATTAGTTATTATGTTATTTAAAATGTGTAAAAAGTTGTGATATTTAAACATTTTTAACTATAAAAGTACAAAATTATATGTTCACTTTAACTTTTGGTTTAGATAATATTTTTTTAAAAGCCGCGTTTGTATGCTTAGTAAAAATTTAATTTAATTTTAGCAAAACAACTATATAAAATTATTAGAAAATAAACTGCCAATTCAATCAAACATACCATACGTTGGCTATAACTTTTTTGTTAGAAATATTGTAATATATTGTAATAATACACTATCTAATGCTTGTTATTTATATTTAGATAATTTGCATAATGACTTCACATATAAATATGATGAGTAAATGCAAAACTCTATTACCAATTTTATCACACAATCTTCATAAAGGACAATCGGGAAGGATTGGCGTCATTGGAGGTTGCGAAGAATACACAGGAGCCCCTTACTATGCGGCCATTAGTGCGTTACGTACAGGAGCTGATCTTGTTTATGTGTTTTGTTTCAAATCTGCTGCTCCAGTCATAAAGTCATACTCACCAGAACTTATTGTGTTGCCATATTTGGACAGTCCGGATTGTATTGACCGTTTGAAGCCATGGTTGGAAAAACTTCACTCTCTGGTTGTTGGACCTGGACTTGGTACTAGCCCTATTGCTCAAGAAGCTGTGAGACGTATTTTTGAACACATCAGTAGAGAATCAAATTTTAACAATAAAAGAATGCCAATAATAGCTGATGCAGATTCACTTAATGTAATTGAACCAGAAACATTCCGATTTTATAATGGTTGTATTTATCTTACACCAAATGTCCACGAATTAACCAAATTATCTAGTAGACTGATAGGGCGGCAAACCTATGAACCAACAGTGACTGATGTTCAGGCTCTTATGAATAAGTTGGGAGGTAATTATGTTATAGTACTAAAAGGAGCTGAAGATGTAATAGCCAACATAAGAGGGACTTTAGTGTGTACGGAACCTGGTTCGGCTAGACGATGTGGAGGTCAAGGAGATATACTTGCCGGAAGTATGGGCACTTTTGCTTATTGGGCTTCCAAGCAAACTCACTATTGTGATGAATTAGATCCAGAAGTTCTTGCTGCTTATGCAGCAAGTGCTCTAACTAGACATACAAATAAAATAGCATTTAAAGCTAAGGGCCGAAATATGATTACAACGGATATTGTGGAATTGTTACCTAATGCCTTTCAAACTTTATTCAGCAACTGAAATAAATATATGTTTGTTCATAAATTATTTTTATTTCATATTACATTAATTGTTATATAACTGAATAATTTTATAAGTTTATTTTATTATTGTTATTCCTTAGTAGTAATGTTTATCAGTTTAGATTGTTTTTAAGGAATTAGTTAATAATCACTTAATAATTTTTCAGTATGATATTTAATTATTTAATACACATACTCGCAGCTGCGCAGATTGTTCTTGAGCTCTCTAAAACAAGTGAAACTACGGTCAAATCCTGTTAGGCAATGTAAACCGTTGGTGTCGGTGACAATGACAGTCCCACTCTAAGTTTGGGTTTATTGGTTTATACATGTTTAATTTTAATTTCATTAGGTAATACAATTTAATTTTATAACCTTGTTATATAAAGTCATATAAAATGTTTTCATTGAAAATAAAAGCTTAATAAGTAATATTATAATTTATTGCATATTATCCTTTCATAAAAGGTACAATACAATCAAAAATAAGCTTATTTTCAGATAATTTATTCTAGAATAGTACCTATAGGTATTAATAAATCACTTTATAACACATAAGACATAATTATTATTTTGAAATAATAAATAATCTGTACATAGGTTATAGTTATACGTATATGGCTATTTGGAAAAATCTTATGACACTTACCCTGAATTATGGAATTATGATGAAAATTTCTTAAAAATAAAAACAATTTGATCCTAGTTAACACATAAACTTACCTATCCAGTTGGCAGTATACAGCTTAGACATAACAATTTTATGACTTAAAAAAATGACTCTTTAATAAAGTTATACAATTTACATGTCCCTTTAAATTTTCATTTGAGCCAATGTACATTTTTGATGGGTTTCCTAACGAGTTATAATAAGGTATTCAATGAAAGAAATCCAAGCAAGGTGGATAATTATATATCCTATATCCACCATATAAGAACATATCCTTTGCAAAATGTTAAAACTTGTACAATTAAATCCTATACTTCATTATTAAACTAATTATTAATATTTTTTAAACATAATTACACGAACAAATATAATTTTAAAATGTATTTAGCAGCAACTCTATTTTTATTTTTAACATAAATGATTATTTTTGAAAAACAAATGTATACAATATGGTACCTATTTTAAGCAATTTATGTATGTCTAAATCTAATAATTAATTAATCAGGAAATTAACTTAGGTACTAAAGTTAAGTTCAAAATGGAAACACCATTATCATTGATTAAATATAGGTACTATGTCATATTGGTTTTGTCATAATGAAGAATCCTGAAATGTAACACCTGTGTAAGTGGACAATTMTATAAAAACCAGAGAAGTCACTCTGTTATTGTATCGTGGGTTTTGAATGTAGGCACCTTATCAGTCATTAATTTAATGGATGTATTCAATTTGAATTGCATGTTAAATCAATGCGAAGGAAAATATGATTCTGAGCAAAAATGGTACGTCAGATATTACTTCATATAGTTTATTTATATTACTCTTATTATTAGCTATTAGTAAGACAGTAGATTGTAGGAAAAATAACAAAAATGAAACATGGTCATAAAATACAATTTTCTACCAGAAACCCTCATCAATATTAAATATTAAAGCATTTTTATTTTCTAATGAAAGACATAAAATAAAACAATTTTATTAAGTTTTATTTTTATGTTGAGATATAATAAGATCCTAGGCCAATCTCATACATAGATCATACTAGAATTATCCTATAAATTAGGTACACCAAAAATTTCTTTTTCAATTAAAATTGATGAGTTTTGCGTGAAGACAAATATGTAAAGTTCAAAGTAATGGATAGATATAGGTACATATTTTTTAAATTACACACATAAAAATAAAACTTAATAAAATTGATGAGTTTTGCGTGAAGACAAATATGTAAAGTTCAAAGTAATGGATAGATATAGGTACATATTTTTTAAATTACACACATAATATGAAACCACAAGATACTTTATTAAATATATTTCAAACCTCTATTTTCAATAATCATATCTATCAAATCAGTCATATTATAAGATTTCTGATTGATTGTATAATGCATGTTTAATTAATACACAAAATTAACATCACATGATTATTTATTTAAATGCATAAATGTTTCGTATTTTTTGTATAAAGTTAGACTATTGAATAACATCTATTGACTATTACTTAACATAATTCTAACAGAATGCTGTTCATCTATAAACTTCAATACAAATTACAGTGTATAATACTTTTTGTTTAAATTTTTGTATGCTGACTTATTGCAACGTACAAACTATCTATATTGCATATCAGTGGCAATAATAGTCATAAACTCATAAAGCAAACAATAAACTAAATTATAATTATTAGTTATGTAAATAAACAAATATAACTTGATGAATCTTTATTAACAGAGGTACTTATATAATTTAAACCATGTGAATTGTTTAATTTTAATTTTAAACCCATCTAATGGAACTTATAAATTATAACCTACTCAATAATTTATATATATATATAGCAATAGGTATATGTTGTATAAATTAATATGGATTGAATTTCATTCATAAGCACTTATACCAAATAAGTCTAAAACCATCTTAATTAAATTATATTATATTTAGTATTCAAATTCATAAAACAATAACTACTCCACCAATCGCACATATATGTTCACACAGTTTAACGGGAACTTATAAAATAGCAATCAGTACTTTGAATATAAAATGTTCTAGTAGTGGCAATGATTGGCCCAATTCAATTGAATTATCAATAATGACAATTAGATTTATATGCTACTCAAAAAGATACAAAATATTTTTAACACAAATGCTAAAGGTCTAAGGTGTACTACATATTTTCTTAAAAAATTATATTGGCATAATACCAACTAAATTATTGATTTGTTTAAACACATTATTTCAATTGTTTATCACAGATGAATTTCATTAAAAACTACCCAAAGATTACGTAAGTTAAGTAAATTATACAGTTAATTATACCAATTGTCTTGAACTAAAAATGTTAAACATTTTAAGTGTTTAGCAGCCAGCAGGTAATAATAAAATATTTTATTAAACCTTATTATATTCATAATCAATATTTTTGTTAAATATTTTATAGAATTGAAATTGAATAATGGAAGATACCATACAAAAGTATATAACTTATTAGTAATGCACTGAGTTTTTAAAAAGTGCACTACAGTTCTCAATTTTTAATCATATTTCAAGACACTTAAAAATTTAAAAACTCAACCCTATTTTGGAAAGAATATTTAGCTAGTTTTAGACAAAACAGTGTTTCTTTTTCCTTCATTTCTCTATTTTTTCAATTATTAGTTTTCAAATGTTGCAATTTTCAACATTCAATCAATTTCCCTTACTTTTCAGTATTTATTCCAAATGTTGGTTATTTAACTCATGTAATTCTTAGACACATTATATCGTTTTTCTTAATTTTAGCAGCAACCCCAAGAATTCAAACTTGATCAAAGCTTTTACAACGAATATTTTATTTGTTTTATACCAACAATAGATTTTATTATTCCCGAAATTACTTCAGGTTCTAAAATGTTCATTACCAATGCTGTTTATAAGAATTTAACATAAACCCTAAGTTAACCATACAATTTATATTATTATTATTTTTCAATAACTTTATTCAAAAAATAACAACCTATCAAATGCATACACCTATGCATTAGTTTATAATTTAAAATAAATGTACTTTTTGTTATTAATTCTATAGTTCGTCCAACTGAAATTTTATCAAGTTTCATCATTACATCATTAGCTACAGTATTCCATAGAAAATAAATAGCACTAGGCTACCTATTGATGTATTTATATGTTTTGTTTTTATTTGTATACTTTAAAGGATAAATTGCTTTACGACAAAAGAATAGTAATCTCAAAAATGTTTGACTGTATCTTTTAGATATCAAACTTTTGATAATGTTCCTCATTTTCTAACATTTGTTTGATTTTTTAAAATCATGTAATAGTGTTAATTTTGCAGTSGTTTTCTTTTGACTTTTGTTTTTGTTTTTGTGAAATTAGCATTACAAACACTGAATAAATGTGGATTTTATAAAATTTTATTTTCTAACTTTCAGTATCGAATATAATAAACATGCTTGTTTATTGTTCCAAAACTATGTGGAACGTGCTTTACGTGCTGCATTAATCTTAAACAATGATAGAATCTCTCAATTTTTGAAAGTGATATTGTAGTCTTAAAAAAAACTTAATATACCAATTTGTAGTTTATAATCAAAAAAATATCACAACTTTGGCACGGTAAAACAAATATTTGGTAAATATTGTTAGATATTTTCAGATCCTATTGAGCAAATTCTAAAAACACATGGTTGATTGTTGGTGATTTTTCTGGAGTGAATTCCCGGTGGAAAAATTGTTTATTGTCTATTGTCCATTGTCGAAAAATTATAGAATAATTCCTGTAAATTATAATAACAAGATGATCTGATATCAAAACTTTGAATAGTAGACTTATCTAACCAATCATAAAACCAATTAAATCTCAAGATAAATTTTAGTTATTCATTAGACCATGCTATGATTGGAAAAATTAACACGATAGTGCAGAATGTGATCAATTTTGATTGAAATAATGGCTAATATTGAATGAAATTTAAGACAATTATGATGAGGAAATCTTCACTGACTCTGACTAGTTTAATTAAAATGTTAGACTAGTTCAGAAATATGAGTTACCCAGAACCTACAATATTTGAAAAATTTGATGAAAACCAACATCTATATAAATAAGTAGAAAAAAAACATGAAATTAATTAAAATTTTGATACTCAAGTGTACTTAATATTTCAAATTAGTTATATATTTAATGTGAAAACTTTGTTAAATTTTTAAATTCTTTGGGCTGTTGAAAAAATAAAGAAAAACTAAGGAAAAAGGAAGAGTAAAATAACAGAAATTTAAAATGAGTATTGAAGTAAAGAGAGAAATTAATAAAAATGGATATTAAAGTTGCAAATTTAAAAAACTTGAAAAGATGAATAATTAAGAAGAAAGAAGTATTTTTGTTTATAAAAAGATATATATTATTTGAAAAAGAATGGGTAAAAAGATTTAAAAAACTTTGTGCATGCTAGAACAATTCTTTCAATTCTTAAAAAGTTACATGCACACGATAATAATCAAAATTAGATTCATCAAAGTCATATTGTTTGTGTTTGTGCTCTATTTTACAAGTATATTTTACCTATATATAATAATATAAAGTAAACTTTTAAATTGTTAAGGGTTTATCACAAACTAATAATGACATAACACTATACCTTATTTGGCTTAGTTTGTGTAGTAAATAACTTATACACTATATGAAATATTTTTGAATATAT